GTTCATGGGACTTAGTAAGTAAGGCTATAAGTACCCTAATTGGGGTTATTTAGGGTTTAGGGTTTAGGCCTTATTTATAACCCTAGTTACTAAGTCCCATGAACCTCTAAGCTCACCTCTGCGTCGCAGGGCACCAACCTGGCAAGAATAAGGCCGGGAGCCCTTGGCTGGTTCTTAGTTCCTCAATACCCAACCTTTAAACCTTTTGGGTTCTTATAGTTTAGTAGTAATCTGAAAGTTTAACCTTTTATTTCCCTGGCTTATTGGCGAAGTAAGGGTTTACAACCTGAGCCGCTGATTGCTTTAGGCGATTTTCAACCCCAAACCCCGAAACCATGCTTAATTACTTTGAGCCCCGACACACTTCTGCACCCGTAAGTCTCTAAAACCAGAATCTTGAGCTTGGGAATGAGTAAGTAAATCACTAGTTGGAGTTATGCGTACTGATAACTACAGCTACCTTATCTATTATCCTTGTCACTAAATATCATGGTCCTCTAAGTAAAGCCCTGAACCTGAGCCCAACTTGAGGCTTTGGCGCAGGGTTGGGTTTCAGGGTTTAGGGGTTTAGGGTTTGGGGGTTCAGGGTTTAGGGTTTAAGGTTTAGGCGGTGCTCCTTATTTTCACGGCCTTAAATTGAACCCTGAACCTTCAACCCTGAGCCCTACAACCCTCAAGCCCTAAACCCCTAAACCCTAAATTCCGAGAGTTCTCGTTTCTGAGGTTCCGTACCCTCCCCGGAAATACCGAGGATCCTTATTGCTTTCGTGCTGCTAGGAATTATTCCCAATCTTTGCATTATGCCAAAAGCTCCAAGGGATCATACGTTATCATGTTTGCATTATGGTGAACAGGGCGCTCAAGATTGGGGTGGGCTTGGAAGGTTTGTAGAGAAATATGTAGGAGTTTCTGGATGCGAAACACCCCTCGGGATGAAACAACCCCTTATTGAACTGAAAGTGTATGTTTTCCGACATATTGCATTTAAACAGAGGCATGGTTGAAGTTATATGACGTATATGTGTGGCTGGGCTTTGCTTTAAAAGCCTGAACCCTGACACCCCTAAAGCTCTAAGGCCCAGCACCCGACAAGCACAAAGCCCCACGCTTGTGGGATTTTTTACATGAGGGCTGCTACACCCTAAACCCTAAGCCCTAAACCCTAAACCCTAAACCCTAGACCCTAAACCCTAACCCTAAGCCCTAAACCCTGGGTATAGGATCTAAGGATGCGACCATGGGACCCTTTGAGGTTTTTACCGTGCAAAACGAACCTGCCCTGGAGCCATCCCCCTGTGACCCGAAACCCTTGAACTTTTATTTAGGCTTCTAGGCATTTAGGGTTTAGCGTTTAGGGTTTAGGTGTTTAGGGGTTTAGAGGTTTGGGGTTTAGAGGTTCAGGGGTTTAGGGGTTTAGGGTTTGGGGGTTAAGGGGTTTAGGGGTTTCGGGTTTTAGGGGTTTTAGGGCTTTATGGGTTTAGGGGAAACCCACGTGCAGTGGGGCCTGCGCCATGAGAGATTCAAGCCCTTCAGGTTGCTATACTATTTTGGGAGGGGTTCCTTGGTATAATTATGGTATACTATACCCCAAACCCTATTCTAATTCCTAAGTCCCCTGCATTAAAACTTGTTCCACTCTTTTAAGCCCTGGAGCCCGAAGCCTGAACCTTCAAACCCCAAGCCCTGAAAGTTTAGGGTTTAGGGTTTAATATA